AATATGTAGCATTAGTATTAATAAAATAATACAGAGCATACCTCCACAATATAAGCCAGCATACACTGTTGGATCCCTGAACTATATAACCCTTAGAGCCAAGGGAATAGTTTATGGGATTGAGCAATGCATTCCCAGGCATGCTACCGCTGCCTTTCCCCCACTCATATAATGCAAAAGTACTTTTGTTTGTAATGGAGGGCAGGCTTCCCTTTCAGAATAAAGGAAAGAGTTATATTTGGCAAGCTGCTCATTGCCAGAAGATCATGCACCTGTTTGCCAAGAATTGGATGGGTCTTTTATAGCTGCAGCTGTACAGAACAGTGCTGAACCAGTGTGCCCAAAGCCATTCCATAGGACTGAGCCACCAAAAGTCATGCTCACCAGCCCTGTGGCAAAATGGGGGAAATCATTCACCGTAAATGCTGAGTTATTTTGAAGTTTACATTCTGCAGACCAAAGGGGCAGGCAAATATGTATTCAGATTTATGTGTATCTAATACACCACACATGTGCCTAATGGCTATGAAAGTCTCAAACAGTTCATTCACTCACATGTGAGTTTGGCCTACTCTATTTGTTCCAATTATGGGCAAATTCGGGTTGCGCTGGGAAAGCATGTGGCTGACTACACCATTGTAAAGTATTTGGCATCCTTTTGTGTCGAATATTTAGAACAGATGATCACTTAATAAATGTTGGGTTTTGTTTTTGCTTTTTTGCTGGGTAGCGGGCTTGTGTTTGCTAACATGGTATATAGTGTGCGTGTGCGTAAATGCACTGTGCATTAGCATTTTGTAACGTTGATCAGGTTGGATAAGAATAATGTTAACGGCAGTTTTAAATTTACTCTTATTTTGTGAGATAACATGCTAATGATGTAGCTGTTTTAATTTGACTTTAGCAGACAGTTTAAATATAGGTTTCCCTTACAGAGACAAAAGTTGCAATTTAAAGCTCTTTGGTGGTCTAAAAACAGCTTAATTCTCTAGTAGCATGGTAATAAGCACTAATCCAGCTTATGCAGTGATTGTAGTATGTCATGTTTGTGAAAGATTGCCTAACTAGGCTTTCTCTGGGTTTTATGTAAAAAAATTAAATGTAAAACCTTATAACATCTTTATGCTGAGACAAACTGTTCAATTTAACTTGCGCTCAAGCAGCAGCTGTCAGGAATTATCATGTTCCCCGCGTTCTTGGTATCACCTTGTGTCCTTACCTCCTAGATAGACTCTGTGGGATGATAAAGCTCACCTTGTTAGGATTTATTACTGAAATAATAACCCGAGGTAAAATGAAAGTTGATGTCACACGGAATGACAGCTGACATATATTTATGTCATGGGCAACATTATAATAATAAAACTTCCTTTCCCTTCCCTGGCACTAGGTGTTAAGTGGAAGTCTGCCTCATCATATCCTCCAGTGCCCTGCGTAGGGAGTCCATTAGACAAATACACGGTTCCTCTGTGGGCATGTTCACTGTAACGTGCCCTGTCAGGTGTTGTTTAAGCTTTAAACCGTGGCTCCGTGGCGGTACGAAACAGACCTGTGGGGCGACTGTGCGTACGTTCTTACAGTGTCATGAGATTTATTTTTAAAAAGAGCACAGTTTTATCGCTTCAGTGGGGAAGTAAAATCTTTTGTAGCTGTAGTTTTTTTTAGTTATCTAGAGTAAGATAAGCAAAGCAAGAGTTAGCAATGAATGGTCACGGGACTTTACCTCAGAGGTGCTTCAACAGCTGCCAGTATATGGTTGAGAAATGTCACCGGGTTCTAGTATTATGAAGGAGAAGGGTGAGGAACACTGTCTCCACACCATTAATAATTTTATACACCTTCATCATGTCACGTCTACTTGACCTTCTCTAAACTAAAAAGCCTCAAATGTTGTAACCTTTCCTCACGGAGGAGTTGCTCCATCGCACCTACCATTTTTGTTACTCTTTTTACTCTTTTGTGAACCTTTTCTTGCTCTAAAATATCCTTCTTGAGGTGAGTTGATAAAAACTGTACACCAGGCATAGGTAAACTCGGCCCTCCAGATGTTTTGGGATTACAACTCCCATCATCCCTAGCTAACAGGACCAGTGGTCAGGGAGAATGGGAGTTGTAGTCTCAAAACATCTGGAGGGCCAAGTTTGCCTGTGCCTGCTGTTCACAGTTCTCCATATGCAGCTGCCCATTGTATAACGACTTCATAATACTGACAGTTTTATTTTCAGTCCCTCTCCTAATAATCCCTGGCATGGATTTTGCCACCTTCCTAGCTGACACACACTGGGTCGACATCTTCATCAGGCTATCCATTACAACCCCAGGGTCTTGTTCCTGGCCAGTCACAACCCGTGAAGGTACATGGAAAGTTATGTGCCCCCCCCCTTGTGCATTGCTTTAAACTTGCTTACATTGAAATGGATTTGCCATTTGACTGCCCATTCACCCAGTTTGGAGAGATTCTTTGGGATATCTTCACAATCTTTTTGTTTTAACCCCCCTGAACAATTTGGTGTTGTCAAAAAACTTGGCCACCTCCATGCTCACCCATTAGCCCTAGACTGTTTATGAGTGAGTTGACATACATGGGTTCCTATACTAATCCTTGGGGACTCTACTTCTGCACCCTTCAATTGGAGGACTATCCATTCCTACGTTCCATTTCCTGTTCCTTTACCATTTACTAATCCACAACAGGTCTTCTCCCCTCATTCTGTGATTGCTCTGCCTCCTTGGAAGTCTTTGGTGTAGTCCTTTGTTATAAGCTTTTTGAAAGTTTTCAGTACACAATGTCTACTGGATCACAAGGTTTTATGCTTGCCTTGTGGCATAACAAGGAGCAATAGGACCAGTGTTGGTAGAGCATGAATTAAGAAGTCCCGTGTGACAGTGCCAAGTGCCCTGAAGTTAATGCTTGTTTTACTTTCCCATTCTCCAAGCTCCTAACTCCAGGGCAGCCTTATACCTGCGAGAAGTACTATGGGTTGGATCCAGTGAAATGTCTGTGGAGTGGGGTAGGTGGATGCTGACTTTCCTGTTCTCAGTACCACCCCCAAAAAACTTACTTTGAGGTGTTGGACTCCCTGCTGAATGGGGTGGACTGTGGCATAGAGTGCTGAGGGGGGTGCCAGAATATGAGGTAGCATTACCCATGAGTGGTAGCCCCATTTACAAAAGGTGCATCTTCACAGTTTTCAGAGATTCCTCCACATCACAGCCCATCCCCTTCAACAAGGCCCGTTGACCCTTAGAAGACACTTTTATGGGTGTTACTTGGAAGAGGAGAAAATGAAAAGTAATCTTCTTGCCCACTCCTTCTGTAGAGTTTTCTCCGGATCCAATCTCTGATTTAGCCTTAATATTAGAGGCTCCACTTAAAGGTGGAGCTGTTGAGTTCTACCTCTCTAGGTGTGACCAGGATGTTGTGGTAGCTATTCAAGCACAACTCAACTTATTCTGGAAGGTTCCTTTGAAAATCATATTCATCATAACTCAGTTTAGTGTTACATCCTGAACAAGGAGCTGAGAGTTAAAGAATACAATATTCAATCACAGTTTGCTTTCCTTATTAACGCAAGGAGTGGGTTTGAAAGAGAATATGTATTGTGTTGGTGTTCCTTTGTGGTAAAAGGAAACGGGTGTTTCAGGTCAGAGGTGACTTAGCTTTAACATAGCCACACTCTCCATCAGTGACTTGTTATGCTATTGTTGTTGGTTTTGCTGTCAGATTTCTGTGAAAAGGACTGTCACCATGGATTTGCCTTAAACGTTAAGGCCCTTAAGACAATACCTGGCCAGAGTCTTGGACTTGACAAAGGAGTGTTAACAGCCAGGGATATTCAGGTCATGTGTCTCTGTGGAAGCTAATTGTTGGAAGATTGCTTCTTGATACAGGACCACACAGCAATGTGCTGTTTAGCGGGGGAGGGGGGAAGGACCATCAGATAAAAGAGTAGGGAGCATTTTCCCCACCCTAGCCTCAGCTGAGGATGGTGTAATCTAGGGGTGTGTGTGTGTGTGTGTGTGTGTGTGTGTGTGTGTGTGTATGTGGGGAGAAGTAGGAAGAGAACTGAGTTTCTGGGCTCTGCAAGCTATTAGACTCTTTGGTGATTAGATGTGGGGCAGTAGCTCTGGTTTCTTGTTGGGTTGTTTATTTTTAAATAAACTCAAATATTGAACACCCTAAGCTTAAAGTGATGTTCTACCCAAAGAAAACTAAAGCACCACACCCCTGGAATTTCTCATTGCTTGGAGTCCATATGATACTAAGTACTACATTTGCATATTTCTATAGCCTTTTAAGTTTGTTTCAGGCAGCCAGGTTTACCATATGATCCGCACCTGTGTTGTATAATTTGAAAGCATGACAAGTCTTACTGACTGCTCCAAGTACTGTGGCAATAGATGGGACAGAATGAACAAAACAACAAATGCTATGGTGGATATTTAATATGAAAAAAGTAGGGAAAGGAAATCTTAACATGAAAAATAAAAACCACAGTAGATATGTCTATTGCATAAATCAAAAGGCTTTATGTCATAACATGAGCATGTGCCACACCGGCTCATATATAGAATTTCAGTAGTTGGTTGCATAAAGAAGTAAAGTGTAATGAAACTGGCAAGCAAAGTATTCCCCAGTCAGCCTTATCTTTGTTCCATTTGTCCTTCAGACACAGCTTTTCTAGCGTTTTTCAATAAAACCCATCCAGCTCTCTCTCTCTCTCTCCTCTCTCTCTCCTCTCTCTCTTTACTTTGCATCTCTCTGTAACTGAGCTGAGAAAACCAATGAGATTCAGTGCTTTTCTACTTGAGTCCTTAGCAGCTGTTTTTTAAGAGATCAAAACTTAGAATGCTGCTACATGGTATTAAGGCTTAGCCACTGATGTGTCCCTATAGAGGTTATGTTTTTCTTGTGGGGAGAGCGGTGGGAGGGAAAGGGTGAAGGGTGACACTTTTGAGCAGGCTTGTAGACAGTAAACACTACTTTCCTTGTTTCTTAGGATCCTCTTTGCAAGCTCAGTGCTTAACCTGACTGAACTCGTTGCCCTTCGGCCTGACCTTGGCAAATTGAAAAAGGTCCTTTACTTCCATGAGAACCAATTGACATATCCTGTCCAGAAATGTCAGGAAAGAGACTTCCAATACGGGTACAACCAGATTCTTTCATGGTAGGTGCATCTCTCATGCCCTTGTGTTTAATTGTTTTCTAGTATCTTCATGAACATGCCTCCAGGGGTTCTTTTTTCCTTTTTCTTTCAATACTAATATATATACACAGACAGACACAGAGTCCTACGTGATTTCCAGTATTTGCAGACAGACAGATGCACACACAATTCAACACTGAAAGTATCAGGTTCATTAGTATATACGAGTTGCTGAAGGCCAAGTATACCAGATACTATTATGAGTGTCTCATTGTACTCCAGTAAAATGCGCTGATTTCCAGTATATACCTCAGTGCTTTTGCTTTGAGAGCACTTAACAAAAGGGGCAGTTAATCAACACTGGCTCAGCAATAGCTTTTACTGCATCCAGCTGAAATTAAAATAGAGGTTTTCAAGGGAGTAAACAAAAATTAAAATGTACTGCGGCAATGTTTTTAGTGAGAGAGGGTAGTAAACATACCAGATAAATCCTTACGTTTCTTTCATTGCGTATTCACAAATTGTGCAGTGGTAAAACACCCAGACATTTAAAAGGCTGTGGCCCTTTATTGTTACTTAAAACAAACATATTTCCTGAATATAAGTTAATGAAAGAAGTTAATAACAGCTACACTGAAAAGCTTTGTGATTAGGCGTTATACAAACCTAAAGTGAAACTGCAAAGCTGAATTGGCTTGAATTGAAATAAATTCATTTACTTGGTCTATTTCACATATTTGTTATTAGAATTATTATAAGCATAGATTGAGCGTTTTAAAGCTAGATGTATAACATCTGCATCTTTGCATTGTAACTCCGATGAAAGACAAATAATGATCCCTATATACTCGAGCTTTTTGTAGCTGCCGTTCTGCTTTCGTTTGCAAAATGCTTCAGTTTTGCAGTAGCAATATTCTGAGAATATAATGAAATGGCTTTGCCATGAAATGGTTCTTAAAAACAAATAGCAGCTTATAAAAAATATTCCTCATCATTGCTACTGGAAGAAATACATCATGAAATGTTAAACCATTCCCTCCACCTCACTTTTGCTTTTGAAGATGCTATCATTTACTATATTATCTTTGAGCTTATGGGACCTTTCCAATGATTTGGCTGTATTAATGGTCAGAATTTGTATTTTGAAGTCATATAAACACTAGGAGTAATTCAATATTGCACAATTATGATCATTCCATCAGCACAAGCAGACCTTCCCTTCCTCCTTGAGCTGATTTGGGGTGTGGGAGGGCAGGCAAGGGGAGCAGGGGGAAATACCCATTGTGCTAGTGGGTCTCATTGTACTGGATCCAGTTAGTGCAACTATTTAGTTGAATCCACCCCACTAGATCTGTTTCCTGAAATTCAGCTATACAGTGGGAGTGAATGAATGGGTGAGTGGAACTCCCATCCTGCCCATTAACCTTGGCAAGTGTTGGGGCTTCTTCCTTTAGGACAGGTTTGAGCAGAAAGCACATTGCGGGGTAATGGTATTTCTCTGGGTGATTTACAGTACATCAGCAGGGGTTTCTGACTTTCAGATACAAATCAGACTGCTGAAATAAAGAATGTGTACAGGGAAACTATATGGGGATTTTTGTGTGAAAGGAGCACAAGAAGTTCATTTCTTGACACTAAAAAAATAAAATCTTTGGGCTAAGTTGTGTGCTTAGAAGCAACCCCGTTCCTTAATGCAAGGGCAGCATCCCTACAAACATTGTATAGGGTCCTGGAACTGTAACATTGGAAGAGACCGTGAGGGTCATCTAGTCCAGCTCCCAGCTCTTTCACCCAAAGTGGGGCTCAAACCCACAACCCTGAATTTAACAGTCTCATACTCAACCAACTGAGCTATCTCAGGTCTTGAGTAAGTGTGTCACTGCATGTATATACCATAGTTTTCCTCCAGGCTCCATTCTGCACTTGGTTGTGGTGGGGTAGACCTGGGGTTCTTAAAAAAAACCCAAATACACCCTATAAGCCCACCCCTACTATATGTAATCAGCAGTGTGAGGGGATTCTCAATCAAACTGACTATATCTGGCATGGGCAGGGGGAAGACGGTATCTGCACATAAGCCAGTCTCTCCTTTTCCTTCTGCTGAATGCTCTTTGGCCTCGATGAGCCCTATGGAACATATTGGCCCGGGGAAAGCTCTCTAAATCTGCACTTGCTTAATTGTCTGCCTCTTTCTCATCTACTAAATAAGGAGCACTTTATCACACATTAGCTGCTGACATGCGTGGTATGGTGGGTGCCTGTCCCTGGGGCAGAAGCCCTCAGCGCTGGAAAGATGATGGTGCCCCCCGCCCTATATAGAACTCAAAATCAAAACAATACTAAACTATTAAAAATGCATCTTTCAAAATGGCACTAAACTTGCACGTATCCTGAAATAACTATCAAGTGCAGCACATGGCAGGATCCGATTTCCTGGCATTATTTTGATCTGTGGTAGGAGGACATATCTGCTCTTATAGGTGGGAATAAGTAATAAAAAGAGAACAGAAAAATGGAGAAAGAGGAGTAGTAGTAGGAGTAGTAGAAATAGTAGGAGTAGTAGTTGTTACTATTATTAAAATTTGTATAACGCCCTGTACCTGCAGGTCTCAGGGTGGTTACAACATGAAATCACAATATAGACTTCTGGTATACTTGTGTGTCTCTGGATTGAAACCATCACTCCTAAGGCATAGCATATTAGCAGTATATTTGCTCAGAAGCAAAACAGGCAGGGTGTTTTTAAACGCATTCTATAAAACTAATTGCCTTCTTTGCTTATGTATCGGTGTTTCTGGCCTCGTGGCAGGAATTTTAATTGGAAAAGGAAATGCAAACTTTTTTATCCTTTCATTCTTTTTTATATATCCCCCAGAGGATATGCCCCTTTCTTCTTCTTTTAAATATACGTAAAAACCTGTATTTAACCCTGCTGCCATTTTAAATGCCTTGGGAGCACCATGTCCTCTCATACAGCGGTGGGCAACTTCAGACTTGGGGAGCAAATGCTGCTCTCCAGCCCTCTCTGTTTGGCCCTGGGGACTTTCCCCAGGCCACACACTCCTCTCCAGCCACACTGACCCTGCTTTGCACCCTGCTTAATTGGCTAGAATATGTCCTTATCTCTAATGGTGCTCTTTCTTTTCTGGGATGGGGGATAGAAAGAGGTATGTGACTGTATCTAGAAACTAGCCTAGGTTACAAAGGCCAAATTCAGTTTTGCCTATGGCCCTGCCACCTCTGGCCCCTAGAAATATGCTCAGAAGAAAATGTGGCCCTCAGAATACCCACCTCTCTAATAGTTAAGGTGGGTGGGTAGTTCTGGGCTGCCCAGTAGGAGAGCAAAATAGGATTCCCCAAGAGAAAACTGATTCTGCATTCCTTTTCATCTAGGTCTTAATGGAGTTCATTCTCCACGGTCAACCCAAATCCTGTCCCTTTCTCAACTTAAATGGTTCTTTGGGGTGGGAGTGGAGATTTGGTTTGCAGGAATAAGCACTTCTTCCAATCTCAATTAACTCCCCACTCCAGAAGACTGTTCTAAGTGCTAATTAGGAAGTCCTCCTAACCAGAGAAGGGACACAGGTAGCGCTGTGGTGTAAACCACTGAGCCTTGGGCTGGCCGATCAGAAGGTCAGCGGTTCGAATCCCTGCGACAGGGTGAGCTCCCGTTGTTCAGTCCCTGCTCCTGCCAACCTAGCAGTTCAAAAGCACATCAAAGTGCAAGTAGATAAATAGGTACCGCTCCGGTGGGAAGGTAAACAGCGTTTCCGTGAGCTGCACTGGTTTCACCGGAAGCGGCTTAGTCATGCTGGTCCCATGACCCAGAAAAACTGTCTGCAGACAAACGCCGGCTCCCTTGGCCAGTAAAGCGAGATGAGCGCTGCAACCCCAGAGTCGTTTGTGACTGGACTTGACTGTCAGGGGTCCTTTCCCTTTCCCTTTTACCTAACCAGAATCCTGAATTAGAGTTAGGCAAGATGTGTCTGATGGGAATTAATCAGAGTAAGAAGAAAAGCCCTTTCTCAGGTTCTAACGAATTGTTCTCTCGCTTGGTGAAAAGCGAAAGGAGCCCTAATTGCTTAGTATCTTGGAATGGCTGACAGGGATGTGAAATTATTATCTGGAGACTTTTGCCATCAGGAGGCTTCAGAACTTCATAGGAACATCTGGGACTGAGTGTTGGGCAGCCAACACAAAACCCAGGCAGGGTATCCCAATAGCATAATTGGCATAATTCAGAATACCCCATAGCATCTTGTTATGGGTGTCCACTTATATGATTCTGTTTTCCATATTAGATGCTTTAGGGAGCCAGGTGCTAGTGTGGGAGATTTCAGCAATGAGAAACCTTTATACAGAATCTGTTTTCCCTTAAGATATATGCTAAGTAAGCATGTGTTATTCCCCCCCCCCCATTTAATTGATTGAATTTAAGTGCTTGGGTTTCTATTTTGGCAATCACACACAAAACTATAGCCCACAGACAACAACAAAAAATATTTTAAATGTGTGGTTCAAAAAAGTGTGACTGCCTGTCACAAAGTTTTGACAGAAATAAAGAAGTAAACTTTTTTGGTCCCTTTTGTTCCCAGCTATTAGTTAAAAGCAAAAGAAATAGGTTAGCTCACTGGTTGTCATAGCTGAAAGAAAACATAGCTGAAAAAAGTGTTTGGAAAAATGTGAGATTTCAAAAATGGTTCCACTCCAGTTGTTGAGCTGAAAAGCACGAGAGTTCTGTTCAAATATTTCCTTGCTTTTCCTGCTGAGTCCTGCTGTTTTTCTGGGCAGTGTCAGTTTTCTATCTTGTCTACGAAGCAGTGAGAATTAGGAGGAGGAATGATTTTAACCCTGTGTTAGATAGTGTAACTGGTAGACTGGTAGATAGTGTAACTGGTAGACATGTACACACTGGGAAAGGGGTGGTGATATCTGAGGGCTATGCCTGTTATCCCCAACCTCTTTGGGTTGATTGTAATAAGTTAGGTAAAGGCTTGTGTATGCAAGTGCCAAATAAGAGACCCGTGCTGTCCAGTTTTGCATAGTATGGATTGTTACATGCGGAGTTGCTGTGCCTTGGGATGTTTATGCATTGTCTCCTTCGCAGAAGTGATAATTTTAAGTCATCGTTTGTTTACCCAAAAGGTGATTTGTTTGAACATCCAACCCAGCCTAGGAGACAGTGGTTTATTTTTGGCCTACAACCCTTGGTTTGTTTTAACCATGGTTTCACATTCTCTCTGAACTCCAGCCTTGCTTACCATGGTTTGGCCACCTTACCCCATCAAGGCACAAGGAAGAGCAGCTGAAAAACAAACTCAGCTTTGGAGAAACAAGCCATGGCTTGTTTGTTCTTCTCCAAGACAACTCATGGATTGTTGAATAAACCATGGTTAAAATAAATGATGGCTTAGCATTATGCATGAACACAGACAATGTATGGAGGTCAGGAGGAAGCTAGGGACACTTACCTCTTGTCCACCTAGGTCAGTAGTTGACACAGTAATAAAACCAACTTGCCCTGAAACCTGCCCTTAATTTCTGTTGCTATTGGTTTAAAGTTGTTACCATTGGGGCGGGGACCTGTGCTGAGAAGTTGTTTATGGTATTGTTGGTTTAAGGTTATGAAAACCTTTAGCTGCATAAAACGATCCTATTAAGATTTGCTGGAAGGAGAGACATACATGGTCCTTTAAGTCTGAATTGATTTTAAAATAGTTATCTTGGTTTGCTCAGCTTGGAAATATTTCTGACTTCTCTAATGCACATAAGAATTTGGGAGGAAGTGTAGTGCAGTGGTTTAAAAGAAGCTCTTTTCAGGTGTTATGGTTAAAAAGGGAACATGAACATATTAATCTCAACTCCAATAACCCCACATGCACTGTCCCCTCCTCCCAATACTCTGCCCCTGACTCAATGCCAAGGTTGCAGGTTAGATCCCCATATGGGACAACTGCATATTCCTGCATTGCCCGGATTGGACCATATGATCCTTAGGATCTCTTCCCGCTATGATTCCATGATGCTCCATATTGAACAGGAAGGTCTGAGGGAGCTTCTAAGCACATTGCGGTAGATGTAATTCAAAGCCTCAGCACAATTGGGCATGCTGATAAGGCAATATTCCCGATCATACAGAGGCAGCATTCAGTTGATTGAGCTTAGAAACCTCTTTCAAACCTCCCAATGCTGTCAGATCAAGGGTGGATCACACAGGACCAAGTGCATATGTGGATGCGGGGTTGGAGAGGATACACACTTCCAACTCATGTTTACATTTCCTTTTCAGCAACAACATCTGATTAGTGATAGAATGAGGTGAGCATTGAAACATCTCCCATCACCCCAGTCATGGTCTCACTTGGTGGCCTTTGGCAAGCTGCATTTTGATCCACAGCCTGTAATGCAAGGGTGCTAATACCAGGCTGATGTATGGACATGTTAGGTCATAGATGTAGAATTTGGCCCATGTAGGAAAAGGCACCATGGATACTAGCTTGGGTCCAGGGAACGGTAATGAAGAAAGCACATTTAGTGCTGTTCCACAACCTCTTGTGCAAGACCTAGTGCAAGATATATTGTAGTACAGCATTGTTTCAGGGTTAAGGTTACAGTATAAGAAAAGGCCAATAGGTAAAACTGCAAAATGCAGTAAGTGAACTCCAGTGGGTCATAAAAAGTGAGCTTGCAAGTTTTGAGAACAAGGGAATGTTTGCCCAAGAGGTTGTGCCCATGAAGGAATTCTTTGGAAATTACTTTTGTCTGTAAAAACAGACCTTCTCTTCTTGGAAACTACTACTTCTGCTAGTAGTTAAAAGTAAAGGTAAAGGACCCCTGACAGTTAAGTCCAGTCGCGAAGGACTCTGGGGTTATGGCACTCATCTTGCTTTACTGGCCGAGGGAGTCTGCAGATAGTTTTTCTGGGTCATGTGACTAAGCCGCTTCTGGTGAAACCAGTGCAGCGCACGGAAACGCTGTTTACCTTCCCGCCGGAGCAGTACCTATTTATCTACTTGCACTTTGACGTGCTTTCGAACTGCTAGGTTGGCAGGAGCTGGGACCAAGCAATGGGAGCTCACCCCATCGCAGGGATTCAAACTGCTGACCTTCTGATCAGCTAGCCCTAGGCTCAGTGGTTTAGACCACAGTGCTACCCGCTGTAAAGCAGTAGGACACCTTTAAGATATATTAAATAAATTGTTGAGATGTGTTTAATGAATGGATGATTTTGCTCTCTTTTTTCATTAGTTTGGTTGCTGACGTCGTGGTGTTCAACTCTGCTTATAATATGGAGTCATTTCTAACATCTATAGGGAAGTTTATGAAGCTGATGCCTGACCATAGGCCTAAGCATCTGGAAGAGTTAATCAGACCAAAATGCCAAGTCCTTTATTTTCCAGTGATGTTCCCTGATGTGAGCAGGTTGGTGGCTTTGCAATTTCTTCTCTCTGTTCTGTGCCATTCATGGTTCCACAGTTCTCTTTATACTGATGATTACCTGGAATTTTTTGCATGGTTTGTACATTGGAAAATCAGAGGACGTATTACATTGCTGTTACATTTTTCATTCAGAACTCAAGAACAGAAGAATATCAAATGACTTAGCCAGGACTACTTGTAAGAAATGCCAGCTGTGCCAGTCCTGCTGACAACAAGTACATATATTGAATATATGATTGGGCCAGGCACCAGGCTACCTTTGAGTTCCCGAGATATAAAATTCTCCCCCAAAGAAGCACACGCATTACCTTCCTTCACCACCACCCCATAGTTGTTCATTTACACTTTCCCCTCTTCGTCCTCTCTATCCATTTCTGAAGTTGCTTTGAAATTTTCTGATCCTACTTGTTTCAAGGTGCAATGAAGTTGGGGGTGGAAGAGGTACTTTATTTGACAGTAGGAATAGTATTTCACTCCAGGATACATTACCTGACTGACTTTATTAGATTTGTATTTTGCAAATAGCTATGGCCCAATTTAAAGGAGGCACTGTGATGGATCTCCTATTGTGGTGGTTGTTTTAAAAAATTCAAAGCAGCGGCAGGAGAGCCCAAATTGAATTGGAGGAGTGGGGCTGGGTGTGTGTAACTGCCCCCTTACTTTTATCTGCCTGGTTTTAGTGTGTGTGATACTAAGAATGCTTAACATTCAGTGGAACCTACCCTATCTCTTTCTTTGTGAGCCTTCTTATTGGGAGGAGGCAAACCCAGAACTGCGAGTCATACAGAGACATAATGAGCAGCCTCTCTGGAGATGTAACTGCTGCTTCTCCACATCTGGTAGCAGATGATGTGCAAGACCTTTGCCTGAGACCCCTGAGAGCTGCTGCTGGTCACAGTAGACAATACTAGAAGGTCTACCTGTCCTCACATCTGTATACCTATATTTTGAGATCATCATCACCAGAGGCTGTTGTCTGGGTTCTCACATTGAGATATGGTGGTGGCTACTGGTAGAAAGATACTGTCAGTGCTTATGCTCCATCTTTGAAACCCTCTCTTTGGAAAGGAACATGTAGCACCCATTCTGATATATTTTATGGTGCCTTTTATTTTATCCGACTTTTAAACTTGTGTTGATCTGTTTTATTCTTGCTTATATATTGTTTCTGATACCTTTATATATTTGCTCGTTGTGTTTTAAATTATTTTATTGTAAGCCCCCACCCTGTGTAAGTTCCTTGAAAGGCAAGCATAAATCTTCATAATAAAATACACATATAAATAAATATCGGACTAGATAGACTACTAGTCTGATTGGTATAAGGCAACTTCTCATATGCTAGTTCCTAGTTTGGAAATGACTATGTTGCACTTTTGGAAGTGTAACAAATTTACTTTGCCTTATAGTTTAGATAAAGGGCCGCCAGCGACTTTATATATGTTGGTTATTTTTAATATTTTTTCTTATTATTTAAAAAGTATCCTTTCTAAATGCTGCGTTGAATGCTGTGTTGCAAAAGAACACACAGTTCAGATTTCTTAATGTATTTATTTGAAAATAAATACTTTCACACCGGCTTTTGTTCAGGAGTTAATATGAAAGTTACATGTACCCTTAAAGTCTCAGTGTATTTTATATTGCTTGACATTGTGTAAAAACTATTGGATAGAATCCAGCATAGTATGAAAGGACTGCACCTTCCTCTTGTCTTCTTGCAGCCACTTGCCCATCCCAGATCTGCTGTGGAAGGGCTCCTGACACCCCAGAATACATTTTGAGGGTGTGTGGAGGGGCGTACCAGGAAAGAGGAAAATGAAGACTTGTTGTATGCTCGTATATGAATAGGGTTGGATACAGCCCCCTGTGTTTAGAAACCAATTATGGTTCCTGGCTCTAAATAAAAATTAACATCAGCCCAAGATGCCAAGGATTTAATTCTTACCAAGAACAACAATTCAGGACCCAAGTTGTGCATTTTCAGCTACAGCTACTGATAGTTGCTGTTATTCCCCCCCCCCCCCCGCCGCAAGATCATGTGTTAAATAAATCTTGAATGCACCTGTGGCAATTGAATGCAGTTTATTAATTTACTCTGTATTACTGCAGTGAAATCTAGCTGAATGGAAATGGAGGAGAAAAAGGTTAAGAAATATCATGGCCAAACTTAGATTCATAAAGCAAGCTCTTCGCCCAGAGTGGTTTTCGAGTTATTTTCAAATGGTAATTTGCTTTATCCAAACCAAACTCATACAGTGTAAGTAAGTGATTATTTGCATGACTGACAGTCATTTGAATGCCTGCAGTCTTTTAAAAATGCATAATTTTGCAGAGATGTTGGGGTGGGGGAATATGAACAGCAGAATAACCAAGGTGATTTCTCTCTCCTCTCCTTACTTTGACCTCCTTTTTAGTTTTTATTGCTGTTAACATGATTTTCTTTGTATATGGGGAAGGAGATGAACTGAAAACAAAATAAGGCAGCGCCATTAAGGATATGGCCATGATTTGTAAAATAATCTTCATTTTATGTTAATATTGTGTCTGTAAAGAAAAAGCTCACCAAACACACACACCCCTTTGGCCCTAGATGTGGGCTACATAGCTGGAGCAGCACATTTCATTTCACTTAAGAAAATCAATTTTGTTTGTGGCTTTTCTTAACCAAAAATCCACATGTGTTCTAACAGAAGTTGTTGTAATTAAAATCTGAATGTAATACAGTCGTACCTCCGCTTATGTATCCCTCCAGTTGCATAAACTTCGGGATACGTAAGCGGCAAACCCAGAAGTATATTTATGGTTTTTTGCCGTGCATGCAAATTCAGAAGCGGTAGACCGCTTTTGCGTATGCGCTGAAACGGTCTACTGCCGCTCGCACGTGCGTCGAAGCAGTTTCCCCAGTTGCGAAAACCTCAGGATCCGGCCGGACCTCTGGAACAGATTCTGTCCACAACCGGAGGTACCACTGTACTTAGAATTGAATATTCAACAATGCACCAAATATTATTTGGCTGATTGGAATTGGCGTGGCAGTGTGGAGACAGATATTCCATTTTGAGTGAAAAATATTTGAATGTGTATATTATTTTCATTTCTTTTGGGGCTCCCATTGGTGGTAGTTGCTTCTGCTGCATCACTTTATTTTGCAATAGAGATGCTATTGGATTTTTTAAACAAAAATTACCCTTAAGTTGTGTCTTTAGCAGACAATTTTCATTTGCTTATAATTAAATATATATATTTTAACCAATATATTTAAAATAATACAAATCAATATATTTAACCAAATCTTTTTCTCAAAAGTTCAGGATAGTGAAAAAAATTAAAGAGGGTGAAGCATGAAACCTGTATAACTGTAAAACAACAGCAAGATGAGAGCAGAAATAGCAGTTGATACTTAAAGTTAAAATCACAAATCAAAAATAGAAAACCAAAAAGAAATTGTGCCAAAAAGAAGATTCAAGGCTAGTGTGCTGTAGAGTGTTGGACCAGGGTTCAAATCCCAACTCAGCCATGAAGTTAGCTAGGTGACCTTGGGCCAGTTGGTACCTCACCGCCCAACGTATTTGCAGGGTTGTTGTGAAAATTAAATAAGAATAGGGAGAACCTTGAACTCCTTGGAGACAAAGGTGGCCTATACATGAAACAATAAGTCGTAAATAAAATAATTTATGTTGGGGAGATGATTCCTGAGACAGGGAAGCACCCCATTGTAGGGCTACTGCCCACCTATCCTCTGAAGATTGGGGAAACTGACAATGGGAAGCCCTAGCAGGTTCACGTCAGAGAAATTGGTCTTAAAAGTAAGTAAGTATATTTTTATTTATACCCCGCCCTCCCCGGCCAAGACCAGGCCCAGTGCGGCTAACATCAAATATCAAATACATTAAAACACAATCAAACAATTGATTAAAATACAGCTTAAAAATTAGAATTGGGATAAAATTAAATGATTGCCCATGAATTACAACCATAGGGGTCGGGAACCTCAAGTATTCATCAGGGCCAGCTATCCAAGTTGGTCCCATATGAGCCGATAAAAGGGCCAAAGAGGTAACTTACAAGGTCCCATAGAGGGGGGTCAAACTGGGCCCAGACCAAAGGCCAGGCGGAACAGCTCCGTCTTTCAGGCCCTGCGGAAGGATGTCAAGTCTCGCAGGGCCCTGGTCTCTTACAATAGGGTGTTCCACCAGGCTGGGGCCAAAGCCAAAAGGCCTTGGCCCTGGTTGAGGCCAGTTTAACCTCCTTGAGGCCTGAGACCTCCAAGATATTATTATTTGTGGACCGTAAGGTCCTCCATGGGGCATACCAGGAGAAGCGGTCCCGTATGAGGGTCCTAGGCCGTATAGTGCTTTAAAGGTTGAAACCAGCACCTTAAACCTGACCCTGTACTCCACCGGGAGCCAGTACAGCTGGTATAGCACTGGATGAATGTGGTCCCACAGCAAGTACCCCATAAGGAGCCTCTAAAAGTGCACTTTTAGATTCAATAGGTGTTTTGTATTGAAATCTGACAGCTGTTTTCAAGGCACTATGTAAGGATCATTCAAACTGTGTTTGGTTTTGGCCAGCAAAATTTCCATAACTGTTATGGGAGATGAGATACCTCATATAGTAGATGGTCTTCTGTGGATTCTCACTTTATCTCTCAGTGATATTTCTGTGTTCACAGATGTATTCTTAGTCTGCATGGCTTCTGGTTTATTTACACATCTTTATCTACCCTAGCCATCACAGGCCAAATTTGAAAAGTGTGCTGTGCCACCCACTGGATGATCAATCACCTGATGTCACAGTGGTGATCATCAGGACTTCATAACATCATGCCTCTTTTTTGCAACTTTATCAGCCATGATCCCATGAACTGTAGCTGGATTTTTAGATGGATTGCCTTTCAGAGGTGTTTCTATCCCAGCTGAAAGTTTTCACAGATGTGCACCCACATTAACCCAGTAATTCCACAGAGACAAAAGATTACA